ATTTGTGGGTGCTGAAAACACTGTTATCACACCTTACAATGTGTTACATTATTTTTACTCTACTTATTTTAACAAGTTTTGCACAGAATCTGGAAGTAAAACTTTTATTCAGGCCTACAGTTTAATAATCATCGATGTAAAACGAGTCCTCCTTGCAACAGGGAGTTAACAATTTGTATCCGTAGCATATGCCGGGATATGTTTAATTATAAAGGTGATGATGAACCCAGATTGCAACATGTACCTGGCAGAGAGAACTGAATAGCTATATTTATATTTGCACCTGGAAAGGCCTTTTTCTGTTTCCAAAAGGCATTTGGGGTTCCAGGTGATACTTTTCAAGTGCAGAGATGCATGCAGAAATATTAAGTTGTGCAAAAGTGTGTCACACTCAATATAGCCAGACAAAGTCCAGAGATTAAATGGAACGCCTGAGTTCCTTGTGTCAAAATAATATTTACTGGTCCCTAAAACAGCTGGTAGCACTTAATCGGGAATTGGATGATAGAAATGTCCGTGTAATCAGATGATCCAGAGGGAAATGATTTCATGCAGAGCTCTTAATGAGGTTTCTCTTTTCTGTCATATTCGTGTTATCCCACAGTCTCGCTTCAAACAATAAAGGTAATGAGCATTAGGAGCGTGTCTCTGGTGATTACACCACGGGAAACTAATCCCAGTGTCAATATTTGCACGAAACCGAAAGCAGGCATTGGAAATGTGTTCCCCCCCACTTCGTATTGGTCTTCCTGGGATCCTTCGATGGGAGCCAGGCAGCACGCCTTGTGGCCTTTTGTGCAGTTTGGAAAACAGCATTTAAGGGGCATCTTTCCTTCCTTCATTGGTGGGAAATTGAGGGGAGAATACAGAATATTTTCCTGCCGAGCAGATGGACTGGCTGAGTCCCTTGGCCCAAAGGGATGGAGCCACAGAGGCTTTGCGGAAGATTCACCAAAGCGGCTGGGAAGANCATCTATATTTATCTATCTATCCATCTAGCTACCATCTATATCTATCTATCTATCTATCTATCTATCTATCTATCTATCATCTATCCATCCATCCATCCATGTTTCTAGTGGTGTATTAATTTATCCTCAAAGATAACAACACTCTTGAATTGAGTCATCCCTTTATAACCAATTATTTAACAATCATTTGAAGTTACAAATCACGTAAACTTATCCTTGAAGTTGCAATTGCCGCAGACACTTCATGCGGTTATGAGGTTACATTTCAGGTGCTTGTAAGGCAGCTGGCATTTATGAGTGGTTGCAGCATCCCTCAGTTGCACGACTGTGATAGTTTGAAGGGCCCTCACTCAAAACCAGCGTGGTGTCAGCTGTCCCTGCATTTCCAAATTCTGTGCTTGGGTTGCCCATTGGAGGTCTGCATCTCTGTGCATACTCGTTGCCCCTTGGGCCAGCATTTCGCGTACTTCAACCTCTCTGTCCCTGGTTTTCCCATTAAGGACAAATATCCTCTTTCCTTGAGGGAAAGGCAGCAGCAGTTGGGAAAACCCAGTTTGAGACAGGCTGAACCGTTCCAGGCTGACGACCAAGAACATGAGTGGGTACTTTGCACTAAAGCCGACATGCCTTGTCCTGAGTATTGAGAATAATTTTGAATGCCAAATTTCACAGCTAAGACATGCCTCAGATATTAGCGTGGCAGTGTTTGATGGAGGGAAAAGAAGAATGCTAATAAATTGGCAGAGCCTTGGAAATATCTTAATGAAATCTCTGCCTACTAGGTGGCTTTCTTATACCACTTGGCAATCACGTAACATACGCAAATTTAATTAGGTTTAATACCCACCTGCATTTAAAGGGTTATTATAGCTGTGTAGTTTGATCTCTGCTTCCCGGTGAATATGACTGTTGGATCACTAGATGGATAGAGTGGCTATTAAAAAAAAACATGATTTGGCAACTCAAGTTAAAGTTGACTTAACTGACACTTCCTTTCAATCAAATCCTCTAACTGAACTACTGAATCAACTTCTTTCATTGAATGAAACTGAATTGGGAGCTTGCCAATTGATTACTAAATTTTATAATTTCTATAGGTGAATCCTTTTCACAGAACAGGAAGTAGAGAAACATCTTTCATCAATTTACTCCACAACAATTTAAATTGCAATACTTAGGATCTTTGTCTTATCCTTTTAAGCTAAATCTTAAAACTAGTGCTATATAACTACAGTGCAATCATTCACAAATTCAATTCCTGGTGGAAAGTTTGAATGCCACAGAATAGGATCGGGCTATGTACATCTGATGATTCCTAAGAATGAAACCAGATAAGTACTAACCCTGGCAGAAAATATAACAGACAGGCACTTTCTAAAAGTAGTGAATGTATTCCCCTTCCCAACTGGGGCAGAAGTCATGATCGTATAAAACCTCAAACATGGAGACATGACAATAACTCAATGTCTATCTCTCCCTCCTGCACCTCAAGGAAAGTTGGATTCTTTATAAACATTATGTTCAATCAGATATGCAGAAGCTGGATATTTGCAATGCAAATTTGCATTTTCCAACCAGATTGCCCTCTAGATACGTAGAACGGATTTCACATCTAGAAACCCAGAACTGGCCACTCTAGCAAGGGAATCCTGGGAGCTGGTCTACCCAACTAGAAAGCAACCACATTGTATAAGGCTGGGACTGTTCTTGTACCTCAAGTCAGTTAAAGCCATTTCCATCCTTATAAATTAAAAAAAAACCTTAATAAAAACAAAATCACCTGGTTGGTCGAAAGTGAAATGTTGGTGAGACATTTGTGCATTGTCATTTATAAGAATATTTGTACTCGGGTATTATTGGAGATGCTCATAAGCGACAACGTATACAGGCTCTGTAAAAGTCTGCCTTAACCGAAACTGAACTCCCGCCCACGTTGAGTTTGGTTTCCCCAGACCATTCAAAGGATCTCCTGGTCAATCGCATTGAGGTGAATTGATCTGTACTGTATTGGCTAGGAAGTGGGGGAAATGCCCCTTTGAACAGATTATCACGGGGGGGGAGGGGAAACAGTATCCATAACTTTTTTTCATCAGTTACCCTCTGAATGCCGTCCTTCAGCTCCATAAAAGCATTGTCTAAAGGAACCACATCTATTATCTTTGGTTATTATCTGGCTCCAGTAGAGCTGAAAGTTTAAGGGAAAATTCCCCATCAGCTGGGAATCACAGGAAAGCTATTTCATCCATGAGAGGTTGAACGGAAGCTTTCAGTAGTAAATAAATACATTTAATAGTGGAAAGTTTGATCCTCTTACCAGCCCCACTCAGGGCCCTTTCATTCCTATAATCCATAGCTGAAACAGGGTGCATTGTAAAGGAGAGATGTATTTTGGGTGGAGATGCATATTTTGCTGTCAAATGCAGTGGTGTTGGCATTAACCCAGCCCAAACTGTTGACAGTAATAGAAGAGCGTTGATGGACATATCTAGCCAGGGGGAGGGGCATTCACATGCCGCCTAACGCTGTTTGTAGTGTGCTTGACCTGGTGGTAGCTATGGAAATGGAAGGAGCCTGTGAATCACCACCTAAGAATTGGAAAGGCAGACTAGAAGCAGGTGGAATTACTGTAGATTTCAGCCTCCAGGAACGGGGGAAGAACGCAGGTACCAAAGCAGACACCACTGAGGACCCCTTGAAAAGCAAAGCTTGTAAATATTTGTGTTGTCTCTTTTGGGTCGAGCTGTACAGCTGGTGTCTTGAAGGCAGATCCGGGCAATGCACTAATAATAAAGGCACTTTGCCAGGGCCTTGTTTTCTGGGATGTCTGGTTTTCCCGACTTCCAAAACTTGGTTTTACAAGATCAGGTCAGGTAGGACCTTGGTGATGGCTTATTTTTTAAAGAAGTCTACGTCTTTCGTTACTGTTCTTAATTGTATCTTTAATTGATTTAATAACATGCTCCCCTACACAGATCACAGTGTGGGTAACTTATTTTTTCTAAAGGCCTCCAGAAAGAGATGAAAAATAATAAATCAATGACATGTAAGCAGAATACCATACAGGGAATGCAAACTCTGTTATTCCCGCCTCAATAAAATCAGAGAGAGTACAGAAGTGGGAAGGTCATTAAAATATCTGGCAGAAGAGGCAAAACCGATGTCGTTCCATGCCTTGAACCTCCTTTTTCTGGTTGCCATCGGTGTCACTTCAGAGGAAGCCCACAAAGGCCCGATATCTGAGGAAGGCGGCCTTTGCTGCAATTTCTTTACTTGAGAACAATCTATTTCTGCCTTTATGTAGTTTTGGGGTTTGGAGCGAAGATGCCAAAAGGAAGCTCCTCAACCTGATTTGCAGATGTGCGGGTTTTCATTTTACTTTCTTTGGGACTCACAGCTGAATATATGAATGTATCAAAACCCTCAATTTACCTTACCTGCCAACGGATGTAGAGAGAGCTCTGTATGAAATGCTTGTTCTATGAGCTCTCATTCTCCTATGGAAATCCCCTCTGACCGGACATTTCTCCAGTAAGAGACTGGAACCTTACCCAATTGATTGAGGAAGAGTTGGCTCAAACTGTGGGTCTTCTAGAAGCCTTTGAGTCTTCCGTGTTTGTGTGCTTGAGGAACGTCATGCTGGGTATTGGGCTGTCATTTTTTCTTAAGAGTCTAAAAGTGCCAAGGACGTGATGGGGTCTAAAAATCCCCTGTTCCTTAGTCAATAAGAAATTCCCTTTCAAAATATCTTGTGTTACCATAGATGCAAATGTTCCTTTTTATATTGTTTTATTTCAGGGAATAGTTTTTTTTTTATTCAACTTGAGTTTTGTGGAAAGGGGATATGACAGGGCCTCCAAATGGTATTAAGTAGTAAAATATTAAATTACAATATTAGAAATGAATATGAACCATTTTTTTGATATAGAAGGCCACCCGATTCAAAATTGCTCTGGGTGACTAATGTAACTAAAAGAGAAGAGAAAGCCATTAAAGTTTTGTGTTGCCCTTCTTGTTGTTTTGCCTCTGCAGAAAGAGTGCGCTAACTTCATCAAGGTGCTGAAAGCTTACAACCAGACCCATTTGTACGTCTGTGGAACTGGAGCTTTCCATCCTATGTGCACCTACATTGAAGTTGGAGGACATCCTGAGGTAAGAGGGACACCTAAATTCAGTCTTTTTTTCCCCAAGTCATTTGTTTTAGACCTGATTTTGATTAATGACCGGCAAAGGTACAATCTGTTTCATTGTTATTGACTCTACCAGAGTGCAATCATGGTGGAAATGCTGAATCAGGACTGGAAACATTCATCTTTGAACCTTCAAGCATGGAAGCTCATAATGCCTATTTCATCAATATAATTTGTGTTTTAACCAAAGTTCAAGGCTTTTAAGCCCCATGCAAGCAATTTAAGAATATTTATAACCTTGGCAATGAAAGTTTGTCCATGGCTGAACTGCACCCAGGAGAAAAATTTCTTATATCAAGTTTAGTGTCTGTATGTAGAACTCATTAAAAAGTTTCACCCCCAACTGGTTTGCCATTTCTCCGTTTTCCCATTTCCGATTCACCCGCAGCTATTTCAGTCTGCTGCACCATCAAATATTTCCAGTCTTTCCAGCTTGTTAGTCGAATTCAGTTCTTGGGGATTTTGTGTGCATGTAATTTTCTTGGTGACATTATAAATAATGGCTTATTCCCTTCTTTTGCTTTTGAACTTCCCAGTCTAATTTAGTTGCTGGGATTTTACCTCTTCTGAAGGAGTAACCAGGATTTGTTTTTGTTTGTTGAACTAAGTCAAGGACAGTCGGGGTTATCGCCTACTGGGTAACAGATTAACACAGTTGGAAGGGAACGTGAAGGTCATCTAGTCCAACCCCCAAGCAGGAGACCCTACGCCTGCCTCTACCTAGGATCGAACTCACAACCTCCTGATTCTGAGGCAAGAGCTCCACCTTTAGGCCACTGCAGTTGTTAGTACTATAGCTCTAATCTATTTTTCAATCGGCAGACTCCATCTCCACACTTGGGTTTGGCTCTGGACTCCAGATCTTAAGGAAATTCAGAGAATCCCGAAGTAGAGGATGCAAAAGATAGAGGATGGGCAGGGGCTGGGAACTAGCCTGTTTCCTTTCTAATGAGGCACGGCTGAGCACACCGGGTACATTTAGACACGTAGACAACGTGGATGAGATAGGATGACTTTTTCCAAAACCTTGAAGTGGGTCCCAGAGGGAAGTCTCTGTCACCTGGAAGGCCAGAAACAGAACCACCGGCCATAGAGGAGCCTCTGGTTGTAATGACCAAGGCAGGTGGTGAGATCTTTGTGTGCTCAGGTAAAATCTGTACATCCTTGATACCAGTCAATAAAGTTTGAGTTGGATTTCTCCACAGAGTAAGAACTTGGCTCTGTGGCACATCCAGTTTGATTATTCTGTTTTTATATAAGATAAACAAAGTGGTGTCCAACCGTACAATGGTCTTGGGGATACTGGCTTATCATGACTCAGCTGCTTCATGCTGCTCAGGTATTCTTGGTTCCCTCAAGAGAAATGTCTGGATCTGTTCATTTAATTTGGAATTCAAAATAAGAACTGCAGCTTCTTATTCTGTTAACAAGCCACAAACAAGCTCTAGTTTATTTAACTGCCCTTCTTGTCAGGGGAGTTAAACAAGAGGACAAGATGGGAAGTTTGCAAAGAATTCTTGCCACTAAGTCATGAGCGGATTCTGTAAGGATTAATCATGGCTCATGAAGACAGTTATGACCAAAAAAAGGAGCGTTTCGCCTTTCTCCCGTGTAACCTTTGCAGCGACGGCTTCAAGAACAATTCAAACTCCGTTATAGTTTAATCTTTCATTGGAAGGCCTGCCATTTAATTTATGGGGCTGTTTTTCAGCTGATCGCCTTGGAGCAGTTACTTGCTAAGATATTAGCAGCCATCTTCCGGATTTGACATTCAAGATTGCAAATTAATGTTAAAAAAAAGAGAATATCATTATTCATGTGATTGAGGCTGTGCCTAATCACTTAAACATCAGATTACTGTCTGGCAGAGAAATTAACATATTAAAAGCTGTGAAGATTATTTTTCTCCATCTATATATAATTTTTGGGGAAAAAAACATTATTTTTTAAAACCCCTCCCCCCTCCCCCCAGGACTCTTTATTTCTAGGTGTTGGCTTTTATTGTACAGGAATTCAGCATACGTTCTTGTTTCATGCTTGAATGCTTTCCTTCAACACTTATTTGTTAATTATCAATTGTCCCTCACGGAGACAAATTCACCCACCCGCCCACGGGAGCACGGCTGATGGCTGCATAAACAGAATTTTATTCCGTGTACTTCATTTGGGATCTGGGAGCCACATTAATTAACTTAGTTCCTTAACATACACATCAGTCACAGGTCTAGCGTCTGTTGATGGATAAGTGACAGACTAAGATCTTTATGAGCATACAAGATACACAATATATACAACTACCATTATATTTACCGTAGGGACGTATATGGTGCTGCAGTTAAGCACACCCTCAGCCACTCAATGGCCACTCATTCCTTCACATGCCAATTACCTCCAAAAGGATGTTGTGTTATGTGAGAGAATTTAGAGAAAAAAGACCTCAAAGGAATGCCTTCCTTTTCTTCCCCTTCTCCTGCCTTCCTTTTTTCCTTCCTTCCTTTCCTTCCTTCCTTCCTTCCTTTTTTCCTCCCTTCCTTTCCTTCCTTCTCCTTTATCAAATTTACATAGCCACCTGTCCAGTGGTAGGTTTCTATTATTTTTTCTTCTGGTTCACTCATGGATGTGGATATATGAATGCTGATAATTAATCAACAATTTATAGAAATAAATATCAGAGAAGAGAAAAGGTTTTTTTCCCATTCAGGAGGATTTTTTTTATTGTACATCAGCATTACATTATCTATGAAGATTTAGTCCTATATCTTTAATTTGTCCATAATGTTTAGTTTGGAATGGTTTTTTCTCTTAAGATTGGATTAAATAATTGGTTAAAAAGTTTGCAAATTATTTTTAGTACAGCACAAAAATGGTGAGAGTTTCTCCTAATCCTCACTGGCCCTTTTTTCCTCAGAAATACATCTTTTAACAGTTCCCGTAAGTTAATGCATTTCATTCATTCCCATAGATCTCTGGATCAGGTCTGGATCTTTCTGAATATATTAGAAGTTCAATTCGTCACTTCAAATATTCAACGTTTTGAAGATTAGCACCTCTATATTAAGGGTAAAAATCAAAACACAGCCGTCTCCATCCTTGCATTCGTTTCGTGCAGTTGTGTTAACTGGTATATCTGTACGTAGCACAAGCTGTTCAAATTAGACATAAGGATGCTTTTGAAGCCCTTGTACGTACTGAAACTATTTCTAGCAATGAAGCAGGGAAAGTATCATTGTGCCTGACAAGATAAATTATATGTCATTAAATGAACCCCATGACATTCATCAGCTTTGAAAGGTCTTTCACATCCTTCAGAATTATAGATTGCTTAAGGAGAGCTGAGGTGGCATGTCTTCCTCCTTTGCCTTCCAATTTTAGCAAATAAATGATGCCAGTGTTAACTCTGCCACTCACAGAGCACTGAAGTTGGAATATGAAAAAGCAATAATAGTTAAAAAAAAAAAAATAAGAAGAGTGAGTGCATGCAAGATAATTCAAGTCTTTTTACCCCATGGAGTTTGGGATGGTTTTTTTTTTCCAATTTCGTTTAATTTGAGATGGAAATTCTCAGTAAAACATTTTACAATTTGACCAACTTTTTTCAACGAGCCTCCAGCTGTTGACATGGAAGATGTTGTGTCTGCATTGGCAGATGTGTATCCGGTCGATCCCACCGGTCCAAACTCGTTACATAGATTAAAACGGTTATTTTGAATGAAAACAGATGAAACATTTGAATCCCCTCAGGGCCGTCCTGAGGGTGGGGTGGCTGACAGAGAAAGCCAACATGGCAGCCTCAGTGGTGCCACTGAATCTCTCCCTCTTGTCTTTCCTCTTCGACCGCATTCAGCTCTTCCTTCAGGTGAGCCCCGGTCGCAGCACAAAGGAGACTCTTGGCTATCTTTCATTGTTGTCAGAGAACGCCCCCGGGGGGGGGGGGCTTTCATTCAGGCCCTGAAATAAGGAACAGCCCCCAGGATCTTAGCTGACTTGATAAGAGGGGGGAAGCCACTGGGGGGCAATTCTCAAAGCGTGGTAAACCCTCTCCATGACCGCGGCCATTCTGAAACAATGTTGGATTCACTTATTGCACCCCAAAATAGAGAAATTACCATTTTAGCTCTAGGAATAGTTTTGTTTTGTTTTTTACTGTGGGATGAAGTGTATCTTCCATTGCTTCCACCGCAATGGAGTGTCACCCTATACAAAAGCAACCTTCGCTTTGAATCCGGGTCATCCATGGAGTGGAATTCTATATTGTCATCTTTTGTGGAGGAAGGGCGTATCTCACACAGGGCTTTCCCCATTGTTGCTGAGAGATAATTGCAGATCTTGACTACAAAGTTATGTACAGCGTGGAACACCTGAAGGGAGGGAGGGAGGAGGAGGAGGAGACACTGCCATGAAAGCAACAATTTGGGGAGCATCTTTCCTAACTAGCAAACTTTATTAAAAGGCATCGGCTGACATCGCCAGATGTGCAGTGGCTGGGCCAGTGTTGGCTACTTGACAATGTGTGGACTTCAGCTCCCAGGATTCCCCAGCCAGCTTTGCTTTGATACAAGATTTAAATTTGGGGGAGGGAGAATAGAGGTGGGTTGCCCAGGTCCAATTGGCATAGATGACAGGTACCTTATCAATGAAGAATTGGAAGCAAATTCATCCCCAGGGAAGCACTCAAGATTCCTTGTCCTGTTTTGACCGGGCGTTGTGTTGAGTTCCTTGACTCCTTGTTTTCCCGCCTCTCAGAATAATAAAAAAATAGTTCACATAGGATAATAACTACATAAGAGAGCACAGAACTGATGATGAAAGCAATTCTTGGTGATTGTTGTAGAGAGAGAAAGCCTTCACGTATTCTTTGCCTTCTCAGTCCTTGCCATCTGTAAGGCACCATAGTAACCAAGACATTAATCCCGTCTTGCTCCTTCCTTCCTCTTTGTCTCTGTCGCTCTGTGATTCTCTCTC